TGTAAATATTTTCGAAGAAGAATAATGGCTATCAGATGCCATTAACTTAATGTGGGGCCAGTTACTTCCTTGATATCGCTGTTCAACTTCTTAATCCATTAAGTTATTACGCGGTTTTAGAAATTTTTTGAATTTTTAGAAGAGCTAGCGATACGTCACGGTTCCAGGTAAGAAATTCCTATTAAGCGAAGGTCTCAGCAAAAGGCCATGATTTTATTTTTGAGAAGTTTGTCAAAAGTTGCCAAATTAATTTTGCCCACTTTTTTCTTGCTAATCTTATTTCCAAGGGAAAAACGTAATTCTCGCGATTCGAGCTTAACAGGAAAACTTTTTCTTTGTGGAGAAAATCAAATGTTAGTAGTCCCAAAGATGCTTTTTCGAGATGCTATAATCTTATTAATATTTTTACATAGGTTAAGCCTATAGATTCTAAGCCGTTCAAAAAAACTGTGCTGTCCAAAGAAAAACGGCTTACTTTTTGATTCTCCTTTCTGATTCAATGGGAAGATTGATTTATTCCTTGGATCATTTCAAAAAAATTTTACGTGAAAATAGGAACAGAAGATAAAAAATCAAACCTTAATACACTCTTCACTGTTTAAAACAAATATAAGATATTTTATCTTAATTTGTAACTTCCTGGTTCTGCTACAGCGCATCTGAATGGGACAAATTCCAGAAGAATAAAACTATTACTAAAACTACTCGTCTCTTTCTATTTCCACGAAATGAAAATGTCCTATTGGAAAGTAGTCGGGAGCTAAATTCGAATTTTGCGATCGCATTTGTTAAAGCCAATCATATCAGAAAGTTAATTTTCCGTTTCACAATAGAACTCAATCTTACTCATAATGTCCTACTGAAAAAAGTCACGATCATAATGGCTTACTGGGAAGATCAGGTTCATTTTGCACTCTTCGCAAATAAGTAGTCCTAATATAGTTTATCAAACATGCACTTTTAAAGTTCTGGAACAGGTCAGACCATTGCGCTCAACTTCAAAAACCCAAGATGATTTCGGAAACATTCAGCTTCGGTAATTAATCAGCTGCCATTGTTGGAATGCCCAAAAACCACGGTATTTTCCAAATAGTACCTAGTCCGTTCCACTAAATGTTACCACTCATTTCTTCATAAACAAATCATTTTCGATTGCACAAATCATCACAAATCATATTTGCAATATATATCGCTACGCTGACACAAGAGAGAGATTGATCATGAGCTCATCAGAAGTGACTTTCGGAGTCGAACACAGATACCATTGCCAATATTTCATTTTTCTGTCATAATCACGCGAAAAACGCAACAGCACGTGATTGTCAATAAATCGAGAAATTCTTTCTGGGGTGAAACGTGACAATAGTACACAGCTACTGAACACTCAATTATATAAATCTACATTCTTCATTTTTTCCAGTTCTACCTGACGTCATGGTCGCCCACACTCTTTGTTCGTTTCGAATCGCCGCGTCGCGGTCGCGTCATTCTCGCGCCGCGGGTGTGTCGCTATGTATCACATCTGTAGCAAAAATGTTCACACACAGCGCTTTCTTTTAACGATCGAGTCGCCGGATGGACACGACTAGAAACGAGAGAGAGAGAAGCACACAGATCGCCTGAAAAACGCTCTCAAATGATCGTTGCTGACACCGATCTGTCGTGTCGCGTCCACCCGATCGCGTTCGCCAGCGATGGCGATTCGACAATGGTCGTGCTCGTCGGAATTGCGCATACTTAAAAGGTTCAGATATCTTACAATTAGATTATGGTCTGTGGGGTTAGTAGCCGTTTTCGCCGCCTACTCAATACTGGAAGACCCAGTTAGCAACGGCATTAGTTATATAAGTAGCTTGAAGACTATAACCATTTCGATAAAAAACCAAAAGGTCCAGAAGTTGCTGCTGACATCTTTATCTCGAAACATTGAGATATACATTGCCCCGAAATACATTGTAAACGAACCGCATTTGAAATTTCTAAAGCACATCCGCAGCGCATATAGCAGAGCCTTATTTGACATCAAAACATAAGGTTCACATTTCATACAATAGTGTTAGGCCATTACAAATGTTAGGTCGTACACTGACTTTTTATCCCAGTAATTCATACGCTTCTTAACTTCAGTCAAGTTTCAGACAACATTTGTGTTAATATCCACCCGATTCTTGTAAAGCAAAGCAATCACAAAAAGGAGCGTGAAAAAAGGCACCAACCTCTATCCACCTCAGTTTAAAGCCAAATGCTGAGAAATTCTGGAAGGTGACATTGACAAAATTAATATTTTCGCTTAAACAATCCCTACGGACCTCTCACTTGCTTACGCATTCCATCAGACCTTCATAAATAGCTTTGAGATTTCTTCATCTAGAAATCGAGAAAACAAAGATTGTCCTGCTTTCGCCAAAACTATGCTGTGAACTTCCACATACATAATTGCATACGACAAAAATTTGGATGCATAAGCATAAATTCTTAATTTTCCACAACATCGTTTACGAAAAAAGTTGACTGCATAGAACTCCCTAGCAAGGAAAGCTTAATTTGATATCTTAAAAAGTAGAAAGCGGAAACTTCATGACTGTGCTCGTAAAGGTCCATAGTATGCATTCATTTATGGGAGAGTGCCCAGCATCGTTTTGGTGAAAACACGGAATTCCGTTTTGTGCTCGCAGCGAGTACTAAAAACGCCAAATTCTTTGGTTCTATCCTTGCTAATGACATTCATTAGAAAGGCCATGGCCCAGGACCTTCTAGTTACTGTCAATAGTTTGCATATTTGGTTAGATTTTAGAAATTTAGGCCGACAGTTTGGACAAAGTGTGATTGAGAATAATGTTCAATTCCGAAATGGGGGTTTGACAATTGAGCAATTTTGAGATTAAGTTCTACATTAGCTGCACTAAAGCACCAACCGATTTTTAGCAGACAGTCATTCGGATGAGAATCAAGTCTGATATAACGCTTTGCGCCTTGACCTGAACCAAACCGAAATTCTAGAGATACAAAAGAGTTTCAGCGAAACAGAGCAACATGGCTATCATAAATCACTAACACATCACGTTTTTCGCTATCTCTTCGCAAACATTTCGCGAAAAACTCGGTCGCTATGAGCGCTGCGGCGGCAGCGGCATTTGCGCGCGAGTGGACGGCTGCGGTGCGTTCCGCGCGATCGTCTGTGCAACAATGTCTAATGTGGCGCATTGTGGCGAAAAAACTCTCGTATGTTTGTTAACGGTGACACTAATTCATTGCGCGTTTATCATATCACCTTACAATCGCCGCCGCACCACCGACGCCCCGGCGGCGGCGTGGTTCCGGTTTACACACGTACATTTATGTGTGTGGACGATTGCGCAGTCGCTAAGCGAGACACAATGCATTGTTACTTGTTATCTCTCAAAGCTAATATTGATCAAAATTATCGATTAGGATGCAAATTAGGCTAGTCTAGGTTGGAGCTTGTATATATATTAGGCAAAAAAAACGAAATCTAAAGCAAAGTGGAATGCAGTTGCAGCCAATACAAGCCAAATTAAGTCCTTTGCGACATGACGTGCTTGCTGCACACCATGCACGACATCTGACGACTCCTGCGCTTGCAGGCTGCAAATTTCTAGCGATTTGCAATTGTTAAATTATTCTAGTCATATGCAGTTGCGAAGAGATGTAAGTAGTCTTTTTTGACATTTTCTTTCCAATCAGAATCGCTGTATTGACGGTAAGTGCCAGAGTCGTGGGGTTATATGCAAGTTGTGCAATCTCACATGTCAATTTACAAGTGACTTCTGTATAGCTATTCCATGATTGTACAGGTCAAGATTGTCTGGAACAACAAATTTTTCTAACAGTAGAAAAAATAAGACTTTTTCCTGTGATATGTTCAGTATAGTTTATCCTCTGAGATTATCGAAAAAAAATTTGGTAGAAAAGACTTTCTCTACGGAAGAAATTTCATTCACTTCGCGCGATCGTGATCTCTGTGATAGGTACCATGGATTTGTTAAGCTTAAACAAAATATTCCAGTCCTCTATAAACACTGAATTATGTAATAAAAATATTGTGCGCACGTGGAATTGCGTTTTATACGGATGCTTTGGTTTTGACAAGTTTAGTCAAGTTTACCGCTAAGCTAACATGAGTTTACACGTTCTGGTTTGATCAAGTATAATCCATTCCTGTCTGAACAAGAATACCCGAGATGTTTTCACAATATTGATTTATTGATTTTTATTAGCCAATATGGAACAAAAGATCACATATCGTCGAACTATTTGAATAAATACTGTTTGCATTTTGTTGTCCCCTACAAAGGTCATGGAAATAAAGACGAAAAGAGAAGAAATGCGGGAACAATTCGGTTCACAAGTCTCCACTCTGAATCGTAAGAGAAGAAATCAAAGCCACGCTAGAGCCATAGAAATGAGAACAATAAGAGATGGAGGAGGAAAAATCAGCAATGATAATTGAACAAAACACAAAAAAACAGAGTACTACGAAAAATTAATAGTGAAATTTTGAAAATACTCTAGATTATGAAAGAGGTGATAGAGAAATCTAAAGAAAAAGAAGAAAAAATTCAACTGGGATGATAGATTGTGCGTCGGCGCAGCATCATTATATACCCTATATCTACCTAACAAACAAAAACATATTAGGCATCCTTCCTCTTTTAAACAAAGATATTATGGAAGAAATGGTAGGAAGGAATCACATAAGAGAAATTTCTCTGTATTAATCAGTTACATAAGCGCAAAATCCGGCCGGGACCAGCGAAACACGCAAAAAATCGATAAATCGATCCGCACATCAGTAGATCAACAATTATATTGCGAGGCGGAGAATGAGAGAAAAAAGGAGACAGACAGCCATAAGAGAGATGGATGGTTATACTGTACAATAGCAGCGAAAATAATATTCGTGATTGGCGGGGAGATCATCGGCCATCTGTGTGGGACCCGTGGTGAAGTTGTGCAGAAGGCGAAGTGAGAGTGGACGTCGACGTCGCCGCCGGCGGGACCGCTGCGGTAGCGGTGGCTCCGTTGGTGGCTACACCGGTGGAGGCGGTGGTGCCACTGGCGGTGGCGGTACTTGGTGGTGGAGTAGCGGAAGCTGCTGAGACGACAGGACTTCTAGCAGCACTGGTGGAACCCGTTGGTGAATGGCTTGACGACGGGCTAGCAGAATGCGTGTCCGACGAGAATGAACCTGAATGAAAATGTGATTATTGATTGATATCGATCGAACAGGACACAATAAAATTTATTATTGATCGCTGCATATACTTCTATTGAAGATGGCATATCTTGTGCTAGTTAGAAAAACAACAAACAATGCCCGCATTGGCAAGGACGTACGCGGCTGCCGCCGGATAATTGTGGCCGTTTAAATTTTCGCATCGTCGTCGTCGTCCGCCGAGCTGGCACAATTTGAAGGGTAATGAGATGTTCACCAGCAAGATTACCACGTCAAACACTGGGGATAATTAGAGGTGGGCGCGGAAAATTTTTTATTTTGAATTTTTGGTAAGTGTTCTTGGGATATGGAGTATGGTAACAAAGTTATGCGATTGATTAACTGAATCGAATAACCTTTACTGGCTTAGATTAGATGAGCAACTAAAGGTTGTGCAAGGTTATCAGGGGGATACACGCAAGTTACAAGAACTGGGATGCGTGCAATTGCACAAGGAAGGGGCACAGTATGCGCAAATCAGGCGTTATCTATAACTAAGCAGAGATGGAACTACCGCTAGTAACTTTAATTTCAAAAAATCTTTCAAAAATAACCGATCCAAATAAAATACCGACTGTTACGTGTGAAAAAGCGTGCGTCATGATTTGGAGGGTGCTTGAAGTGCGCAATTGCACATATTTCTATCCTAGCTGATCAATTCACGGTTTCTTTTCGCAATCATAGAAATTTGCAAATTCAATCTGATTAGGTTGTGATAATTTTTGCCAATGACGTCTGCACACTCAAAAATTACAGTTTTTAATGTGTGAACTTGCACAACGAGCACCGCGTACTACGACTTTTCAAGTAAGTAGCAAGTAGGATCTCTTTAATAAAACAAACAATCAGAAAATGATTACTTCCACGTCTTTTACCTCTATCCCTAACTTTGTCAGGCTCCCCCTTCACTCTCCCCCCCCCCCCCTCCTCCTATGCTATCCTAAGTCTACAATCTGGAACCTTGCTCCTATTCAATCTTATCAGTCCCACTTACTATACTTTGCGCCGCAATGCTACAAGAGCGTCAAGGTTCACACAGCGCATAAATGCGCTCCACCACTAGCACACCCTAAATCACGTCTTATCAGCTCTCCATTAGGCCTATCAATGACTACAAGGAGCAAAAAATTTCTTGCAGAAGCAGCAGGGTAGGAACAGGATCGTGCTGGGCAACAGCTATGATGCTTTTTCACGTTTCCAGCACGTGCGACTGCTAATCAGCGGAAAACTTTCCGCTTTTTCCCCAATCATCACATACTCGAAGAAGAAAAAAACTTCTTGGTATTACCGACACTCGATACAGGACAGTTTTACGATCGCTCGCAGCAGTCATTTTATACACAACCATAAATCAATGCAAATAGTCGCGATCTTCAGTGTTTTATATGTGAAAATGTATAGAGTTGGGCAGTTTTGCTGGCAAGTAGGGAATTTAGCGCTAAAAATATAGTCCCCCCCCCCCCGGCTAATGAAACAAGGAGAAGAATTTTGAATGCGTCCAGTATAGACTCTGAACAGAATTCTATATGGATTTTGCTATTCGCAACGTTTGATTCTAGCTTAATTTCTTATCAGTCACATTTTGTACCTATAATCCACTGTACACAATTATGGAAACGATCAGAAAGTACAATTTTTTAGAAATAGTTCGAATTATGATTGTGCTTATCAAATTTAGTAAATTAATTTGTTCTTTTGGCACTTTCAAAACAGACATTAAGGTAAATTCATCCAAAACTGTAGATTTTCCTTCTAAATCAGTGGCGGACCAAAGGAGGGGGATGGGGGGGGGGAGGCCGGGGAGGGGGGGGGGGTACTGGATGGCCTAAATAGTTATGAGAACTGAGTAAGCAATTTGCTTTCGTCTATCAAAAATCAAAACAATTTTTTGATTTTTCCAAAATTGAATCAACCTTGTGAAAAGTTTCGGAGGCGTGGGTGCCCATTTTCTGGAACTTTTGAAATTTAGGTCCGCTAACATCCATGCCCCTTCATTCAAAAAACTTCTACTGCCCTTCCCCATCCGAAGAAATTGTTCCGCAACGCCATAATGAACCCTAATGGGAGGAAAATTTTGTATCGTATTAGTGCCTGCAGAAAATTTCCCCCGCTTCACCCGCTGCTCCCTAGCTCCTTTGCCCTTTTTCTTTTCGTAAATAGGGTCCCCAGAAGTGACCTCGTTAAAGATCAATGCGATTTGCAGGGCATGTTCTCCCGTCACGACATAAGCGTTATCTTGAACACCTCGGTTCCATGTATTACAAGGGATTAAGATAACGCACGACGCACAAAGTGCACCCAGCAGCCCGCCGATATACTTGACAGACAACGCGACAATTATTTGAAAAAAAAAATACCGCAAAAAGCGAAACATGTCGCTTAGACAGCTTTTGAAAAAATCTGGAGAAGGAACTGACCATTCATGACAGCAGAGTGATGTTGTTGTTGCTGTTGCTGTTGCTGTTGTTGTTGCTGCTGCTGGTGAGCGGCAAAACCCATGAGCGCTAATGGATTCAGGAACGGCATTGGTGGCATGGCACCAGGTCGTGACATAGCTGCCAACATTTGCGGAGGGAATTGAAAGTTTGACAGAGCGATCATTCGTTGTAGTTGTGCTACAGCTGCAGGATCCTCTTCCGTACTTGGTGAGTCCTGCAAGGAAAATGAGAAACAGGATATGTCCGAATAACACGCAGACTTTTGTAATTCCAGCTACAAACCTTTTTCGAACTTCCCGCCTCATTCTCAGCTTTTGTAGAGTCAGATCTTTCACCGAGTGTGTCGGCAATTGACCAAATTTTCCCTGGAGCTTTTTTCGGCGTACTAACATCAGAACCATCCTTTAGATTGTTGTTTGTCACTGGAGTTACAGGCACTTCTAAAAAAACTAACATTCATTAAGAAAAATTTCCAGATTGACAGATTTATAGCTGAGAAATTTTTTGTTTTTCATGAAAATGACATTTTTACAAGCAGTGGATTCTTTTACAGCTAAAGATATCATGACGATGCATAACGGCTAAAGTTCACGTGTTTTTGTCAAACAGGATAAGAAAACTAGCAGAAAAGCGCTGTCAATTCGCAGAACAGATCTCCAGCATAAAAACTAGAGACTGTGGGCGGAGCTAATTGTAGACTGCGGCATAGTTGTGCTTTTCTATTCGGTAGGCAAAAAAAAATGATTGCAGAATCAGCTAAAGTCGTTTTTTGTCAAATTTGACTATTTGATATTTTTAGGGAAAGAATAAGAAAAGTGGGCAGAAAAAGAGGGAATTTGTAAGGCAGGTTTTTGCACAGTACAGAAATTGAAATGTGGGGGCGGGGTTAGACGCAGAGTGCGGCATAGTTGTGCTTTTGTATTCAGTAGGGAAAAAAGGTAATTGCGGATCTTTTGTACACAAAAAAAGACTTTCTTGCTTTACATCTTTGAATAACTGATTCGTTTCAAGATATTGTGTTCTTATTATTTTGTAAAAGAACAGTGTACAGAAAGTGGGCGGAGCTGGAACGCAAACTGCGGCACAGTTGCACTGTTGTATTCAGTAGGCAAAAAAGAATCGCAATTGCTTTGTACGCAAAAAAAGACAGCCTTTTTCCAGATTTTATGGATAGTTGATTAGCTCAGAAGTTTTTACCGTACCACTTCGAATCATCTCCTTATGCGAGAAAGAACTGTTTAGACAACTTAACGAATACTAGACAGTAATCAGTTAACACTTTACGCCGAAAATCGTAATTTAAGGTTTTGGGGTTAGTCTATAGCAAACCATTGTGATTGATTATGTGATAAAACAGTAACCCAAACGAACCTTCTTTCTTTTCGGACATATCAGACATGGAACTCGATGGTCGATCCATGCCATCGAGACCATCAATCGCATCGATATCGGCCAAATCGTCATCATCCGGATCGTCACCGCGACGATTCTGTGGTGACCATGTCATCTTGTTCTCTTTCTTCAATCGTCGTCGTGCATTTGCGAACCATGTTGAAACCTTAAGAACACACTATTATCGATAGTGTATCCTAATGAAAATAAATCATCAATGAGGTCATTTCGTTGTGTGTTTCACGAGAATCTCAGCCGTACAAACCGTAGCGGTACACTTCAAAACTTCACAATCACATCGCCATTCGCGATAAGAATCGACAAGCATGTTGTCGTGTCAAGTTTGAGATTTTTTAGCTGAGCACGGGGGGGGGGGGGAATGGACATACCGCTACCGACAAGGTCATAGTACTCTGCTCGCGTCTAGGAAGTCAGCTAATTAGGCGAAAATTTTCAACATGATTGAAAGATCAAAGCGGTGCGTCTGTGTGGATTAATTACGCAATCACGGACGATGACGCCGCGGCGATAATTGTCGCTTCAGGACTCGAACGCGGTAGTGCCAAAGATGCCGCGGCATGCCCGAAGCGATGCTTGAGAGTTTCGAGAAGGGTATGTTAGGGTGATTTGCTATTTATCGGTAAGTTCTTATACATAGTTATGTAGATAAGAGGATGAGTTACAAATTGTGCCCTTAGGTTGATTTTTGGGCAGGGGGGGGGGAGGATAGGAGCAAAATTAACTTGGCATGAGTTAAAGAGTGCAGGACATTATTGAAAAACGTTTAGAAAACAAGATTGACAGTTAATGAAGTTGTGTTGCCACAAGAGGACGTCCTCTGCAGACAACTGCGACAAAGTATGCTTTTTCATGCATTAAAGCCTTGTGCCAGTTATCCGTGCGGATGTAGTCCGCAGGCCATATATTGTTCTCTACCCAGAAATCATCTATGTATAAAAGCTCTCTTACTTCTTCAATCCCCCCCCCCCCTTCTCTCCCACATTCTCCCAAATGAATTGGGATAGAGTTGAAATCAAAATTGCAAGCAACGGTTTTCCATTACTGAAAAATTTCTTCGAAACCCTTTTGCACGTACGAATTTCACCAAGCGTTTTTTCCCGTAATTCTCATTTCCGTAACACTCTATAAATCATGATCTTGCAACGCATATCGCTCTCACAAAGGTCAGAGTTGTCCGTGAAAACGTTTTTTCAATTTGTTCACAGGTGTCATTTATTAGGTGGAAAACTCGTTTTCACTTATTTGTACTGAAAGATTTATGTTCAGCAAGGTGTAGAGCAAATGAATTACACGTCAAATAAGAGAAACAAGTTGCTAGAGTTCCAAATTTATGGCTATCGATTTGGGATTGTTTGTAGAAAGGCGAATTTTATGAGGATAATTGAGGAGGGCTTGTGGTTTTTCAAAGCATAATCTAGCAGGGCCCTAAATGAGTCAAGAACTCGATTGTGACTCAGAAAAAAGCTTTTTAGGCAATGTTATAGGTGTTACTAACCTAATTGCTTATTTGACAAATAGACACATGTACTGACTAGTGAAATTCCCCCGAAAAAATTCCCATTATTTTTTTACAGCAATTTATTCAGCTAAGACCCGTTAATGAATCATTATTCGCGTAATTCTCCACCTACATCTAACTTTACATCCAAATCATAACCAGATCGTAATTACCGTACCTGTGTAAGTGTCATTTTCGTCATCACAGCAAGCATGACCTTTTCGCCCTTGGTCGGATAGGGATTCTTTCGATGATCGGTCAGCCACGCTTTCAACGGTGCCGTCGTCTCACGGGTCGCATTTTTGCGTCGAGCACCGTCCAGGCCAGCCGCATAGGGATGGTAGGGGTTCATCACGTCGAATACAAAACTTGGAATTGGTCCACCTCCGACCGGCATCATTTCGGGTTTGAGGTCCTGAAACGAAATGAGGTGAGTTTAGACCGGCACACTTTGTTACCCCAGGTTTCATAGTCGGTTGAAATGTCGAACCAGAATCGACCGCTGCTTTCTTTACGATGCATAATTACTGGCCAAATGGCCTTGACGAGTTCTGGGCTATCTATGGTGCAAGCGAAAAAAAAAGAACTCTATTGAAGTCCAGAACTTCTATTTCTAACAAAATTTTCACATGAAATTTGCAAAAGAAGCGCAAGCAAGCTATCTTTGGTGAGGATTACGGTATCAACGGATGTCTGACGGCGTATGGGAACATGCGGCTGCAAAACACGACAATGTTTTTTGGTGAAGAGGGCTCGCTCTATATACACACATGCACATTGGGGCAAAAACATTGTCATGTAAGCAGAGAAATGGGGCTCTGAGAGTTGCGAGGAGAGCTGAGAGCTGAGAGCTGTGAGCTGAGCAGCAGCAGCCAAATTGAAATTGCTTTTCATGTTGACAAGACCGGATACGGTAGGTACTCGTGTGTGCGATTAGAAGAAGCGAAACAGACAGACACAGATAGACGTACACAATCTTTCATACAAGAGCCGATTGCTTTTTTCTTGGAATTAATTTTGAGAGAGAGAAATTCTTGAAAGTATTAACAAAACTTTATAGGACTCCAAATTGTCCAAAAATTGTGGGCTAAAAGTAATTTGAGGTTTTGCAAAACTTAAAGGAGCAGCTGAGCGTTAAATGTCAAGGTTTATACAGCGCAGAGTGACGAAAGGAGTAAAGAAAGATGAAAATTTGCGATAACGCGCCAGTCGGCCGCAGCAACACCCACGACGGGTAACCCGCACCTAATGCCACCGAAATTACGCATAACGACACCATTATCGAAAAACGCTTAGACCCCCTAAGAAACCCGTCTGAAACCCCTCAAAAAATAGCAAATTTCTACTTACCGGTTGTAAACCAGGATACATGACCGGGAACGGTAAACCGGCTTGAGCTGCCATAGCACGAAATGCGTCCGCCTGTGCTGCTCCCGGCATGCCAGGAAAGGGAAATTGGCCGGCGAACAGCGGATTGCCGGCGGCGAGAAAGCGCAACGCGTCGGCGTTCAACTCAACACCGCCACCTTCCGGTTTCATTGGCGTGGCCGCTTGAGTGAGAAGCTGAAATGAAAGCGAATTTCGATGGTTTGCATCGTATAACACTGTTGCACTTTGATTTTTGGCAATTCGAAAAATTCGAGAAATTTCCGGGGCAGCAAAAGCTGGCAAAAAGGAGTGTAGTCTATGAAGTGTAACAGCGCTTTACAAGACTTTACAACTATGCTCATGTTCGCCGACAGAAGCTATTTGCAAAAAATTTTTAAACTGAAAAAGAATTTTTGCAAAATATTTCGAATTTCTGGCGGTTACAAGTTCAAGGAAAGCCTCAGAAGTATGCAAAATAATTTTCTTTAAGCAGAAAACTTGCCAATTTCCCCCAAACATATTCCTTTGCTCCCTCCCCACTTTTAACTTTTAGACAAAACTATGGTTGTCATGCCTCTCCCTTCCCAAAAAGCGATCACTTTAGCTCTCTCCAAATTTATCAAATTAATCCGACTAACCAGAAGAAACATTAGTATTGGCGGCTTGTACTGTGACATTGTCATTGGGGTTTAAATGCATTTCATCGCAGATTATGGACATAAAGCAATCACTAAGAATTTGGGGAGCGATAAAAAAAGTTGCAAAGAAGATTGGTGTACAGAAATTAGATAGTCACATTTTCGGAAAGGGTGTGGTATGATTTTTGCAAAAAATAACACAGAAAATTAGTCAGAGAGGCATTTTTGAATACTTTATGGCAAAAGCAAAAGTAGGAATGAGAATTCGAGATTTTTAAATTTGGTTTGGAACTTGATAAAGAGATGTTGTTACTGGTGCGAGCTCGACAATATTGATATTTTTATGAGCAATAAAATAAGCGGAAATTACCTGAGCCGGATTGAAGGCGGAGTTGAATGCCATCATCAAGTCAGAATTTGGAAACTACCGGAACACAGTCGGGTAGGAAGAATTTGGTCCAGACTTCAAAAGAATAAATACAGAAACGATAGCAGATCAAACTGATCGCCAGTCACCAAAGCGCGCGATTCTGGAAGTCGGATTGGTGAGTGAATAGAAGATATTCTGAAACATTTGAAAATTATGTCGATGCATTTGCGAAAGAGAAGTGATTCGGCTGTCATTTTAGGGGAATGTACGAGCGTGGTGATTATGAGCGTACGGATAAGCGAGAGTTGCATGTGGATCGAATTATAATGAACTTGAACAAGGGGGTGAAGAGAAAGGGGGGAGAAGATGAGGGGTCCCGCGCACGAGAAGAAACATGAATCGTGTCGAGAGCGATCGGCGATATTCTGATAAACGGTACGATGATATGGGGGACAATAGATGGGGGGGGGGGGGGGGGGAAAGGCACACATCGTTGAGTGTGTGATTCGCAAGTCATGAACAAACGGACATCAAATCGGACAATGTGATGGTCTTGCTGGTATGATGATGATCACAGAGAGAAAACGATGATCGCTTCGAAGTTGACGCAGATACATAGACTTTCATAAGATAAGAGAGAGATAGACGAGTGATTGGTGTTACCTGGCGTGTTGTAACACCATAAATCGGTCGGTGGGAAAATTTGAGAGCGGGAGAATGATTAGAAAATTGAGACAATGAGATGCGATGTGGGTTCTTAGCAGGTATAATTGGAATAAACAGATCAAAGATTGGGAAAAGTGAACTTTCTTTGCAAAATATCAGCAGTAAAGTAAGTTACTTGTTTAGCCAAAAAGTACAAGCAATGTAGCCCATAAGTAAAGATCCCAGTCAGTAAGTAGCCAGACCCCCCCCCGTGTTCTCGAGGGCCCGGGCGCGCCCACCTGCGCCTGCACCGCCGGTGGCCACCGCGACGACGATTCGCTGCCGAGAATTATGTTGTTACAAAATGAACATGCTGTTCACAAGCTCCGCCCATCGGCTGCGTGATTGGCGCCGGTGGCTCGGCGGGTGGGGCGAGCCTCATCCAGCGGCTCCGCCCCGCTCGACGATGATTGCTGCTCGTTGAGGTGGGGCCGGGCCGCAGCCTCGCCAGCGATGAGGCGCGCGATTACGGTAGCCGCGCGCGCGCCCCTCGCGAGTGACGAGGAACAGGTGGAGAGCCTCTTATTTCTCAAAAATGGCTCTGGTATTACTTCATTTACCTTTAGAAGTATGTTCCAAATGTGTTTTTTGTTATTGCCGTATCTATAGTGGTTGTGTTCTGCAAATATGCGTTGCATTTAAGTTGTGTAATAGTACGCACACATTTACAAACAGTAAACACTCAGTATTACACTATTATCTGCTTGTTAATGTGTTGTAATCAAGTTTAAAGAGAGTAAAGTGAATGATAGGTAGTAAGACGCAAAGAATGTGTTAAGTACAACGGAAATGATTATTTTTCTTCAAAAAATGCCAAAAAACCCCTACAGCAGATCAAAAGCATTGTCCGAATGTGATTATTTCTGCATGGAAAGAATTTGGCCAAAGATGGAAATTATTGGAAAAAACGCGAGAGTACATCAGAGACACACACGTGGCGCCACTGATACTTACAACGCGCTTCAGGTGCGCGATTTTACACCAAAAGACATGACAATGGACAATAGCCCTCCTCTAACGACGCACAAATACACAAACAAAAGCGTTGCTATTGCCTGTGCATGATGCTATTACAGCATCATATAAACAACAATGCTTTAGCATCGATAGAGACATCAAAACGAGTGATTAACGGCGCGCTAGAGGTGGCCGGGACAGCGCCGAACAGTCCTAATATGCTTAACAAATTCTGCACTCTACATACTGATAGCACGTTGCTAATAATGTCTTTAAGAGGGCAAAAAACAAATCAGAACATCTGATACAAATCCGCTTAGGACGAATCGTGTCTAACAATTGGCTGGCTGGAAAAAACTGCAGCAGCACACATACACTAGTCTCACACACACACAAATGCTCATTGACATGCGTTTTAACACATGTGAAACAGGAATTTTTTCCATGTGTGACAGTTGTCCTTGACGGTAATGGATATGACTGTTGAGTAGTGCGCGCATTGTTTTGATTAGTGATTGCGTTACTAGTAACATTGAGACAATAAAAAGCATTGAGACACGCTCTTGCACACAACCGCAAAAGGTAAATTGGAGAAACGCGTAGCAAGGACATACGATAGAGTTTTGGACGGAAATGGTAAAAAATTAGATTCCTCTAAAAGTCAAAAACTTCGGGGTACAAATTGCACGACAGGTGGTAGCTCACGATTTTTTGTGACCCTTGTGATCGATTTTTTCCAAAAATAACAAAAAATTGAAAAGTTTGGCAAAGACATACCGTAGAGTTTTGAACAAGATTGCTCGAAAAATTTTACGAAATTCCCTAAAAATTCTGGGTTATTACAAAAAATGCATAGATGTTGTGGACCAAGATTATATGGAAGAATGAACAAAGTTTAAATCTTGGACGATAATCAGAAATGGAGTAATTTTCCAGAAGCTTCTGGGCAAAAGTAGAAAGGAACAACTCCAAAGTGAAACAAAAGCATTATGACCATACAAGGAAGTGCATTCGCTTATATAGACATTCGGACACTCGTGATAGTTGTCCGAGTTCAATAATGAGTGAATAAAATCGAACACAATAGCAATTAAGTGTATACAACACCAAGTGTGAGAGACAACATTTTTCGAAGTTTTTTTTTCGCGGGCTTTGAAAAAAACTCGTGCCGAATTTGTGACAGTTGTCGTGAAAGAAGGAGACGAGAAAGTGGTGGTGATGGTGGAAGAAAGCGGAAAAACATGTTCACTCGACACAATATGCCTCGTAAAACACTTGTGGGAGATAAGCCCCTAAGACGTTCACATGGCCGAAAGCGGGGAAAACATCGACGGGGGGGGGGGGGTAGATGGGGAGAGCGCGCGCGGGGCGCGGACTACTGTAGCTTGCACTCTGAAACCATCATCATCAACAGCAGAGCAGAAGTAGCGACAAGAACAACGAGTGTCGAACATCGGTCAGCTAGTCGACGCTCAGGGGCAAGAAATGGAGCGCTTTAAGGGGGGGGGGAGCCCTGAGAGGAAAAGAGTCTGCGGGGGGGGGGGGGTAGCTCCGAGCAAGGACACCGCCGCCATCAGCGCGCGGACCCGATGTCGAGCGACACGATGATGCTGTCGAACGGACTAATGATTCCGCCCGCACATCTTGCTTGTCCCCCTCACCGTTCCGCGGGGGCGTGGTCACCCCACAACGAGGGTCGCAACCTGGATATAAGAGAGTTAGTTAGGACTGGACAATTTACACCAAGTGAGCAATGGAAGCTGGTTGGTTGCGCGCGCGTGCGTTGGCCGCCAGCCAACCTTTTAGCGCCTAATTACGGCCCTAAACATGGGGTGACTCTGGCGGCACCAATTCACGCCATGAGCATGGGAGTCGGTAGGTTTCACATCGAGGAACCATCAAATTTGTGTTAACATCATTTCCCCAGCTAAATCCCATGTTAACATGATTAGCAAAGGAAGTAACTTGACAAGTTCGAACAACTTTGAAACGTCATTGTAATTTGTGCAAATGCACACCTTCACGATGCAGAAAAACGGGCAAAAAATGTCACGGCCAACACGCATGACTTGTGAAATCCTGTAAGAACGCGTTGCTTTGTTTGTGCTCTCGAAAAAACGAGTGTTAACACTGATCCGAACACAAGTTTGAACAAGTCAAACACTCGAGTGAGTGAGCAGAGCAAGTGAGACGTAGAGGATTTTACGTACATTTCTGTGCATGAGAAGCGGGGGAGGGGGGGGGGGGGGGGGGGAGGGGGCGAGGTTTTCAAACTTGTGCAAGCCGAAGCGATTCTGCTATGATCTGGCCCAAAATCTTGGAAGAAGAAATTTTGTAAGCCCCAAAATAATTCCATCAATAAGTTCAAGTGCAATGCTCCTATTTTCTCATTTAGAATGCAGTATAGAAAAATTTAGATGACAAATTTGGCGTTTATTCTTGATTTTACAGGTAGCAGAGTTCAGGGAATAGAATATCCAGCAAAAGAACACAAATTTTGTTCCTGCAAATTATCACCCAGTGATTTTTGGGACATAAGACCAGTCCCAAGCCATGACCCCACAAGAGTGCCAAAACTTACGCAAAATGCCATCGCTAAACAAATATTACGTACAACTAATCAACTAAGGATTAGCTGCACACTTGATATGGATGATGATGTTGCGATACGGGGCGACTATTATGGATGAGCTTCAGTTAGTGCAATATTGCGTAAAATAATATGTTAATCTGTACACACACAAATAGAAATAGAGACTCACCACATCACATATACACTCTCTCTCATACACAAATACGAGATGTGCTCAATGGCTCATCGAATAAGCGGCGCAATCGAGAGCGAGCTACAGAGCAAACAAACCGCCCCAACACTTCTCAGCACTCTCTTGTTTTTCGGCACTATTAGGGCAACTACAGAAGGCGGTATGGGTGAGAAGCGGGGGGGGGGGGGAGCGGAAAGGGTGTAATTGACGAAATCTTATAAATGTATAAGCAGTCCTCGAGTCATTTACTCAGTATGTGAGCCTGCGCACTATGCGCGGCAACTGACGACATCCCTACTAGTAATTCCTTAGTAAAACCTTTTTTCGCGTGACAAACTTTAGAAGTGTGCACTACTAACTAACACATATCCAGTCAAATCAAGGGGACAAGAAAACCAGGACAATTCACAAAAAAAGGGCAGGTTCCAACCTTACAAGTGTCAAGTAGCGTGTATAGTGTGCATGTACACATTAAGTAACAAATAACGAGGCGATACATAGGAATTTTTGAAGGATGTTAGCATTACACAGTTTCTCCATATATATAAACTTAGAGTAACTGTTACGTAGACCACACGCAAGGCTACGCAAAATTGCACAAAATGCAGTGGAAATCGAGCAAGTGAACGTCCGAGAGCATCGAGCTGTTTACTGACACACTGACTCGACACGCCCTAATTTTTCGAGCAAGCCTATTGCTAGCCTAGGGCAAAATAGTCGAAGCCGCAACAGAGACATAGACGAGGACGACGGAAATTTTCCGGATGTCGCCGCCTGATAACCGGGTGCGGTTCCAATTTCCGGTACATCCTCTTTTGCTTGTTATAGCAGCTCTTGCTCTCATCCCGTCAACCCACACATGCATTGCACACATTCGTTGATTGTTATGACGACGCTTTACTGCTCAGTTGAAAAAAAAATCTGGAGGGGGAAGACAATGATTTTCAGTTTTAACATTTAAAGCAAAAGTGCACAGGATTAGTGATCTCCGGAAATCGAGTACTATAGTTATATTTTTTACTTCCTGTGATTCAGAATTTCCGATTACAGTCACATGAATGGACAAGTAGCAGTTATTTTTCGAATATTCAAGGTTAAAAATTCTGGCTGATTATTGTAGATTTAAAATCACTTCCATGTCGCTCGCATCTCTGCAATCTGCTTACTTACGATTTGAGAAATCTACAATTTTTGGCTTAACATTGATAATGTGACTACTGCGAAATAATTTAGCTTCAAATACAGTATTACACTAGTACTAAAGAAGCCTGTAATTTATAAGTATACTGTACATCACAGGATACTTTTTACAAAGGACCAGTTTATTGAAAAAAATAAGCTTTTTTAGACAAGGCTTCGTTAGAATCAAGCTACAGTACCCTACCGCAACCCTACGAAAGCCCATACCTCTACGGTAAGAGCACCGTGACTCACATTTTTGTTTCAATATAATCTTATTGAGACTGTTGTAAAATTTTGAGCCTCAAGTGTTTACCTAGTGCTGCAGACTTGTGCAACACTACAGTAGGCAATACGGTAAGCATACTGTACCCAGCATTCTTCCTTGAAGCATTTCATGCTAAGCGTACTGTATCTCAATCTTTTTCGTCCTAAGTAAGTTTTGAGATTCAAGCTCAAAGTTCCTACCCTCACTCGGTAGGCATACTGTACTCCGCTTTTCTCATGAAACACTGAGATTTTGACGCCTCAACGTCTCATAGGCTTGACTAACTTATTTCGAACTTTTTTGAGAAAATTACACTTGCCCTGAGTGACAATTAGTCCTGACGCTTCCAAACACTTGTTACTGAGCCCAAAAGACAGATTCAAAATGAAATCTCATACGACCAGCACGCCAACAGTGTCGTCGACGATGTGTTGAAGGCTGTATGCAAATCACCAGCAGCCCGTACGCGCCATCATTAAATTCCGTGATATTTCGGGGAGGGCAAAATTAGGTCTTTATGCTCACATCAAGAAGATGAAGAAGAGTGAAATCGCGCTACACATGTCCCGCGCGCCAAGCATGCGAGCGCGGCGATCAGCTGTCCGCCTGTGTCTCATTACGGATCGTTGACACGATGTCCGCGTTTCTCCATATGATAATGAGAATGAGAGAAGATTTTCAAATCTTCTTGCGCTAAGCAAGCAGCAGCGGCAGCGAAGACGAGGCAGACATCCGTTCGCCTGGTGTATAGATATGTTTAATCTGTAAAGGGTCAGCACACCTGTTTGAAAGTGGCACCGACGCATAATTACAGACGCGGCGGCAAGCATGAACCTGCAATGGACCCAGTGATTAGCAAGGATTCCGAGACGTACTTGATGAGATCATCATTGGATCTTCTCGGCATGCTCAGGGATAATCTCTTAAATACTAAGAGAATGGGTCAGATTTCGAATTTGACCGGATTAGGATGCATAGGCGTGCAGGAGTGTAGCTTACGATATTATGAGCGGGAATTTGTACTTTTTAAAAGTAGAGCGTAACACAGATCATGCGCCTAGCTTCACTACTCACAATCAATCTTCGTTAACTAGTCTTACGCAGATTGTGACCGAGGACAAAAGATGTTCCGGAAGTGCTCCTGAAATATGTTGCGTACTAGAACATTATATTCTAGGGAAGAGAAAGTTGCTTTCAAAAATTATTGCAAGCTGTTTACAGTCAAGTCAATTTGTGGGCGATATGTGCCATTGCACAACATGCATGTTAGGCGTGAAATCGATTAACCTGACTAGGGCGACATAAGGAGGTACTATTAGTGTTTTTTTTGTTTTTTTCTGGTCTTTTCAAGTATGCATCAAGCGAACATTTCCCAAAAGTTTTTAGAAGTTTTAAGCAAAATGGCCAACGAAAAAAGACCTGACGCGCAATGTGCATACCATGTGCAATCTCACGCGAAGAATTAAGAATCGGCTTGATTTTTTACCCTCGTTTTCATCAGTTTATTTCGCCTAATCATAGAAAAGTAACTCGCCCCATGAATGCTACCTTGAAAACGCGAAAACTGATTGGGAAGCTCTCGAAAAAATTGCCCAACAGAGCGCTAAAGTTCTGCAAAATTGCGTCGATCAAATCCTACAGTATAAAATAACGAAATAGCGAACAAAACTAATGATGCAATAGCCATGAATGACAATAAAAATTATGTAATGACATTTCCTCCGAAATAACGTCTCATTTAGGATTCCACACACTTTCGGCCGAGCAAACGCCGACATCTGTCGGGCCGCTACGTTCTGATACACACGGGCTTCGACGAGAAAATTTTGTCGTCAGTACGATCGATATGATCGCGAACTAGTCTTCTAGTCACAAAGTCTTTTAAGGAGGTTATTTCAATTTGTTATTTACATAAGGAGTTAGAAAAGAAATGCGTCAATATTGGCGCTAGGTCCGAGTCATCGATCGGGTTATCAAAGGCGCACTGTGCTCCGGGCAAGGCTACTCCATGTTAGTCAATGTTTCTATAATGTTACTTGTGCGTAATGGTGATTCAGAGAATTCGTCATTGATAACACTTCCATTCTCGCGCTCTCGTGCATTTGCACAACGCTGGCGCGATCATTTTCTGATGATCGCTTGAGCCGAACTCGACCTCCATCGAATGTCTTTGTTATTATTTAGCACTTTGTTGAGTTTCTTCATGTTTTCGTTTATACTACCTACTAAAGTTCGGATTTCGCGCCGCTATTTGTGCACAGTCCGCGCCTACACCAAGTTTGAGCTACTGTGGCGAAAATTGATGTCAACATGTTAGACATGAACTTATGTTTCTCATTCTAGTTTTTTATTCGTTGTCCTTTTTGGATAACTTTGTTAACTTTCATCGCTAGTGATTGATTGCTTATTATTGTACGTAGCGCCAATCTAGCTCAAGTATTAGCCTTGTCGGCATCCTTGATAGATTCTACGCTTCGCTAGTTTTCTCATGGACTGTCAAACATTAGCATGTGCTGAGTGTTTGTAGTAATAGTCATGCTCACGTCAAGTTGTTTCTATAACGATAAATGATTCGTTCCAGGTATTCCTAGTATTTGCGAGGAGTGGAGGAGTTGGCGAAACATTTGCAAAAAGTGAGAAAACTGTTCAGGTGGGAGATTTTTGACACATTTGTTCATTTGTTTTTTCCTTAAAAAACCACATTATGATATAGGAGTTTGCACTTTTTGTGAGTAGCAAATATTTTGATTCACAAAACATTTTTAGCCGATAGTTCTACTAGAAGGTCATTCTACTCCTCATTTTACGTCTTTATTCCTCATACGTCCTACTTTTTTCACCATGTTTCGAAGGTTTTGCTCAATTTTTTTGAAGTTAACTATGTTTTTAACATCATGAGCCATATTTTCCAGTTCCTCTTGCTACTTCAAACGCCCTTTACATTTACCGCTGTAATATGATAACCTATTAGTACCTATCAACAAGTACCCACTTCCATATTATGTCATCACCCCGGTGCTAATCGTTTCCTTTCAATGGCTTTCGAGTGTTTTTGCGGACACATGCCGAAGGCATGTCGCTTCGCTAACAAAACGCTTACCGCCACCTACCTCCGGGTTATGTGAGGTTCGCTGACATGTTGTCTTAGCCACCATAAGGTTATAAGGTTGGTAATACTTGCAGTGATCGGGGGATGGACTTGTCGATTTGTTATTGTTTCGCTGATTGACAGTTTAGAAACATTATGTCAACACTAAATTGCCACCTATTGTTGATGTCGGCCCATGCGATGATGCATATGGTGATTTTGTCGAGGTGAGGGGTATACGTTACAATAGCTGAGCGGGAGTTAGTATATGGATGATTACAAAGGATTATAGACTATATCGAATAGAGTGGATGTGCGTACTCGCTCACGGTTCCAAATAGCTAAGCGGTCTAATCAGCTAGCATGACATTTTTGAATTCAAAACTCATTCTTCATCATAATATTCTTTAATTGGACTTCAAAAGTGTGTGTTACCATAGTGTAATGATGAGAAACGTCAATAAATCCGCGCCATACTGGCACGCACACGCTGCCACTTGGTGCAGTTGCGACTATTAGTTCATGTTTCCCGGTTCTTACTTAATAAGAATGAAATTTTTGATCTTCGATTTTCAGGAATTGCTTCACATTCATGTTTTGATGCGCTCCAAGATTTTGGGCTTTGCCTCACGGGTAGCCATTGAAACCAAGTATTGGTGCAATTACACCAGATCACTTAGGCGTCAGCTATGCACCCATCAAGATCTCGTACAGGCTTTTTCTCACATTAGCATTATCCAGCTCGTACTTATTTGACGTCAATCGCCAGCTGCAATCCGCATTTGTGATTTTCGAGTCACTTAATACTTTTTCCCACCTCACCCTGTCGTTAATGAGCCACTACCATTGGACACTCGTAAAAGCTCGTTGTCGGCGGAGTGCTGAACACAGGCAGCCGCAGCGCGCCAACCAGCCTGCTGCAGCCGCCGCCGCCGCGGCTGAAGCATCTGTGCGAGATGCCTATGTAAACTAGCCAAGCTCATTAACGCCATATGAGTCCGCTTTTAGAGGTTTTTGCGGACGCGTTACCTAAATGCCCGATGCTATGTGCCGTAGAAAAAGTGTCTGTTAAATGGAGTTGACGACAACTGGCACAGGTGTTAGTTAGTACCACCGATCCAGCTATTACTGCAGTAATATAACACGTTCTTTCGTTTGGTTACCGCAGTACGTCGCATTCGTTTTGGAGGGAGCTGATGTTGGTAGAGTTATAAGTTTACCCGTTAGTCAGGTGGTTTGAATACAGTCATGCGTGCACTTTTCTTCTTGGAAAAAGGAGACGAAAAGCTACACGGAACCTTTGTGGTGAAAATTATGACTCCTCGATCTTGGCGGTTTCACCCTTTACCTATTTCCTCGCTCCGAAAAATCAACGAGCAGCCTCGTAATTGATTGACGTAATTACAGCAACGATACTGCTGTTTGCGATGAAAAATCACACCTCGTAATTGATTGACGTACTTACAGCAACGATACTGCTGTTTGCGATGAAAAATCACACCCTGCATCGGTGTGTCTCGACATTTGTTAGCAATGTGGTGGTGAGAACGATTCATGTGTTTGATTGGCTGGACAAGCTCAGAGTGCTAATGACAGTGTGCTGTGTATGTTTAGTCCCCCCCCCCTTCTCCCCCCGTATACCAGAACGGATAGGTGACAAGCTCATGTCAGCAAGCGTCATTTGACACAGTGTTGGAAAGCACTTTCGTGTTTTGTGGAAAGTTGGCTCAGAATTTGTGGAAAAGTGGGGGGGGGGGGAGAGGGGAGGGAGGGGAGATTGGGACCTAGGACGGGCCCAGGTAAATGTGGCAGTTTATCATACTGGTTTGGAGCCTTTGTAAGCTGTTACCCAGGCAACACCTCAAAAATCCATTCGTAGCTCAATTCTTGCCCAGTACCGTACTCTAGGACACTTATTATCGCAAGGAGAGTACGGTTGTCCTGGCCAAGAGTTTGAAACTGAATTGCTCAAAAACGATACATGAATTGGGCCTTGGGCAGTGGGACAATGACGCTAGGGCTTCCCTAACAGCTTCAACATGAAGAACCCAGCTACCCGGATTTGCCTGAATGTGAATTCAAAAGCCATCATCAGCGCCAATGACAATTTTGCCGATTTGCTATACCGTTATTAACTTGGGAAACTTTGGAATGTATACGGTAAGTTTCGAAACCTCCACTGAAGAACATTTGGTGAACGTCACAGTAAGTTGTCGTCGGTAATGATGACGAGTTTTCCCAATGCTATTCTGAGGTCTATCGTTACTGATGTTATTGAGTGTTGTGAATATGCATGAAACGAGTTTCTACCTCAAAACTTCCAAAAAACGTCTAACAAACTCGTCCCAAAACCGGATACATTCTCTAATACTGCGCTTTGTACAATACAAGATTACTGTACAAAATTGCACTGCATGTGCGCGGCGAGAGTCATAACCGAATGGTCGCTGAACGAGTTCGTAATTTTTCTCTACAGTCAACTATCAACCGTAATTGATGTCGAACATCATTCTGCGATAGATAGGCGAACGATTATCTAAGCGAGGATCGAGTAGGGAGGAAGGAGAGTATATGGTTGGTGACGTACATCTCTCGACTATTGTAATACTTATGAGTTATGATCACGGGATATTGCACAATACTCGACGGGGTCGCACAGTTAAGAGGTTAATCCTCGCTACACAACTGATCTCTTATACCTAAACAATGAGGGACAAAGCAGGTTAGGGGCTAGGGGACTTCGGAGGGCTGAAGCGGGCGCTATTTTGCTTTAGCTTGCTGTGAAAGAGTCTGTACGGCTCTTTTACAATAAGCGAGTAAGAAGATCCACAAAAGCACTACCTGGACATTACTCTGGCACGAGTCTACTTCTTTTGAGGTGGGCAAAGTTGGTTTGGGTTGAGAAAACCAAGAGGCACCTCATGGAGCCGTGCTGATTCACTGACACCCCTACCAACTTGTCCTTATTAGAAGAGAGTATTGGATCTGTACCAAGCTTGATTCAGGTAAACGCTGGCCTGCACGTTTATTAGACTCTTAGGCTGGAGTCAGACTTATTGCTTGGCCGCTTCATCCACTCTATCCACTTCTATTGGTCAAATCACTAATTTGACCAATGGGAAATTGGCTGAAGTGGATGAAGCGGCTAACCAGAGGAGTCTAGCTCTGCCTCAGCAACTTGCAGAGTATCGCTCTAAAATCGCCTTCCTACCGTATACCCTGTAGTTCTCCTCTTGTTAAACAAGTGACTGTTTGTTGTCAAGTTATTAATGAAGAGAGCCATCAGTTGGCCATGTCATTAACAACTTAACAGCTGCTGCACCTATGCTTTGTTATCAGTCATCGTATCAGTATTCCACGGGGGACCTACATCTGTCGTATATCTATGACAATAACGATATGGCTGCAATGGAATGTTATGCAGTGTGTCATGTCTTCCATATGCTACGAAATTGAGAGTTAAGACATGATATCTACGATCGCATCGCACGATAGCCGTACCGATGTAGCGTCCGCTTGGACTAGCTGACCTTAGTTGTTTGGACAGATTAATTAAGAGATATTAGCGCCGAGTAGCTATAGGGATGCTAACGAGAAAGAGAGAATGATTCAAGCAGGAGCTGTAAGAGAACGAATGTAGCTGCTAAGGGAGCAGCTTTGACGAAATGTAATGAGAGCTGCAGAGATGGCAAGAAAGCGCTGTTGTCGAGGATTTGTGGTGAATAACGCAGCGACAATGTAAGCTGAGAAAAAGCGAAGAAACATCTGTTCAAGCCACTCTCGCCGAAAGTACACGCATTCACACAAATCATGCCTGTCGAGATTACGGTAGCGGTGGTGACATACATTATCAAGACATAATGACGACTTACCGTTGTAACGAGGTGAAGCGCTTCGATGTCTTCAAAGTACGACAGTATGGCACCAGCGGCTTGTCTTCGAACTTGACAACCCGCGAATGAAAGGGTTTATGTCGATTCAGGATCGTTTTATATGACGGATGTTGTTTGGCCACGTGTTATCGCCACGTAAAATTTAGTCTTCAACAACCGGAATCTTCAACAACCGGAAGTTGAGCTAATAAGTCAAAAAATTGCAGTAACATCTAACTTAAGAATCCTGACGGCTAGCTTTCATGGAGATTTGGAGAGGATCGGACCTCTCTGTGCAAAAATTTGGATAAATTTTTTTTCTACGAATGACTAAATCAGATGCCGTCGTGGAACCGGAAGTGACAGATCACATCGACATGTTTGATGTTTTGACCAGAATATACACGCACTGGCAAATTGGGGTCAGTAGACTAGAAAATGTGTAGCTTTCAAAAATTGGATTTTGGAGAAATCTCAAAAATACGCAATGATCAGTGGCGTACCGAGGGGGGGGGGGCGGGGGGGGCGCGCGCCCCCCCCGAGAACGGGTCGCGAAATTTTTGAAAGTTACTTACATGGGTTATAAAAATGTGCAAGTGACTTGTTTTTACTTGTAAATAATTAAAATAATTTTTAAAATTTTTTAAAAATTCATTTTAGCCTTATAAAAAATTTTTTTTCGGGGGCGTGGCTGACGCCACGCCCCCTTTTTCCAGATTTTAGGGGTCGGGGACCCGAAAAAAAAATGAGAAGCACCCCAAAAATTTTTTCGGAGTGCGTGGCTAACGCCACGCACCTTCTTTAGAAAAAAATTTTTGTCGCGCCCCCCCCCCGAGCCGAAATCCTGGGTACGCCACTGGCAATGATCAAAGGCATCTGATTCTATTAGCAAGACATCGCACGGGCCAAAGAGGCGTAGCCCTATTGCAAAATATACAGCTTCAAATTTTCGCTTCATGAGGTAACAACATTGAGAAAGATTGAAAATCATCGGATTTGTGCTTATCGATATCGATATCGTATCATTGGGAAAAATAAGTGGAAGTAGACGGACCGACTGCTATAAGGGAATGATTTTTTCGTTTATGTTATGAGGATGACCAAACGGTGCAAGCTTTGTTTGTCTAAAAATACTGACATGAGCCTGAGTTTGTGCAAAAAAGTCAAAGTTGTAACTGACTTTTGGAACTAAAATAAATGAAGCTGATCGCTCTCAAGCTCAATAACACAAGCATATTCAGACGAGACGCTGAGGATATTGACGTTATCTTCAGTAATCTCAAAAACTGTGTTCGGACAAATTTGAGTAGCTGGTTCATCTACAGAAATTTGGCTGAGAGAGTTCATCTAAGCCATTTTACAAAAGGAGGCTAATATGGTCTATTTGTGGCTGAGAAAATCAGCTTTAATCTCGTTCAGATCGTACTCTTTCCGTTATTCAATCCTTCTTAGAGTACGGTAGAAGACGGTCTGAACTTTCATATTGAGTTGGACCATGATTTATTTATACGAGCTGCCATGGTCCTACTACTTCGAAATTCGTGTGGCAAAAAATGACATTTTAATAAAAATATAGCTCTTGCATTGGTGAAGGTTCGGGGGATCAACTAAGTGAACTTCTTCCACAGTACGGAACTTTTTGTCTGTAGCTGTGATATGACGATTCAAAAGGCTCATATGCCAGGATATACTGCTTTTCGGATGCCTTAGAAGCTTTGAGAAAAAGGAGCATATGTTGTGTTCGCATCTTGTCCTCTGTCATGTAGTGCATTGTACTTTTACACGTCGTTCCAAAGCATCTTTGGGTGATCCATTGGAATGCATTGGATACACACCGTAATCCAAGAGGTGCTTTCGGCTGCAGCGCAATTGTCGACGAGATGCTGACAATCGCTCAAGCGCTGTCAGACGAGGTGTCAGACATGTGTTCACACCGCTAGGCGGCCTTTGGCTAACAAAAAGTGATGGTTTGGCGGTTCATAAGAAATGTTCTGATAGCTGAGATGCAAAAGAAACAGTTCAACATAGCTTGTGAAAGCAGGAAGTTTGTCTCAGGTGACAAGCTTCAGACATGCTCGGAGAAGCTTTCTGGTGCAAGAGAAAAGCTGGATGAGCTTGAGAAGTGGTGCAAATCAAATGAGAAGAGAAGTTACGGGCTAGCTGAACAGCCATAGTACTGTTCCTAGACTAGACTGGATCCAATGGATGAAAATCAAATTGTCGTGTGAAGCAGTTGTTCGCACTGGTGTAACTACCACTGATAATGATGATCGACAGTGATGACAACGCTGTTGAAACAAGTTGTATCCAGCATCACCTCATCATACGATTACAATGGAATTTAGAAATCTATGACAGAAAGTTGAAGAAAACGAAGGAGAAAGGCGCAGAGATGGATTCATAGCATTCATCTGCCTCAGTTGGTTTTTACAAACAGGCATTTTTTTGAACGGTACAGTGAACAGAAGTTCATCATATTTCTGAACAAGTGTTATTATTCTGCATCACACCGCTCAGCTGTGTATTCCTCTCGTAGAGGTGTCAAATTTCACGTTTATGCAGAAGATCGGGGAACTTGTTGTTCGAGGCTGTGACAGATTTGATCCGATTCCTCACCCTTGCTCCGAGGTATCGATATCAGGCCTGTCACGCCTCGGCAGTGTGTGCGTCTGGCATCGCAAATCATATTCGTTTTGTAAATCGCAGGGATCGGCAGGCACCTGTTGATTTGCTGACGTTAATAGGAATGGTTATAGAGGGATCAGATATTCAGGTAGACTCAGGAAGGGAGATTTTGAATCACCGAGTGGATTTGAATATTGAGAACAACATGGTCAAAATTCATCAGCGATGCGCAGGATATGCGACAAGAGCCTACGATGAAATAGGCTTTCGACTGGGCTTGGCAGAATCAACACGCATCTTGAATACATTCTATTTGAACATCAGAATTGAAAATTTCAATAAATCCTGCAGGAGCAATTAGCATTTTACAACGGCCTTTTCTCAAAAGCTTTCCAAGAAAGAAATGATGGTAGAGGAGTGAAAGTAATGCAAGTGCTCGGAAATGAGGTGGGCATTGCCTACAGAGCTTCTAGATCTAGATAAACGAAAAGAGATATGGCCGCATCAGCTGTTGGCACCCGCCGGACCACTCATTAATACGGCGTTGACCCGCGGTTGACACTTGCTGGCCGATTCGGATGACAAGCGGTAATGGACGCATAAAACATCACCGGCCGGAAATTGAAGATGATTTAGAGAGGATTTGCGAAAAGAGATTGTGCGAAGCAAAACAAGAAACTAGAAATTGTGTTCTCATTTGAAGTGGACAAGATTGTGGTGACTACGGTAAAGTAGGCGACGACGACTCGTTATTGGACTGAGTCGGCGCTTTATGCAAAATGCATCACCGACCGCATTGAATAAGGCAGCAAAAACACAGCGAACTCATCGATTGGGCGAGGATTTCAACTCTTGAAGCTAAGACTACCGAAAAAGATTTACATTCTAGCTGCAAGAAGAATTGTTCACTGTGTGTAATTTATCAAGTGCTGCAGCAATGAACAGCGATAACAGTGTAGAACACACTTATCAAGATTTGTAGAACGAAACATTGTGTCAGGTGTTCACACCTGGGCTGAAGAGAATGAGGCAGAGATTTGCGTTGGCAAAAGAAAAAGAAAGTGGGTTTGGTCGCAAGTTTTACAGCACTTTGCTTGCAAGATTGTCACAGTTCGTAAAGTTATGCCCGTTGAATTATTGCTCCTTATCAGTCTTTATTGCGATAAATTCGCTATCCTCGCGATGTCGTCATATTAGAACGCTTGAATCCATCTAAGCTGCCCAGCAACCGTGGATTCGAGTAAACTCTCTGTCTCATCAAAATGGCAATGGTGTGGAACATATATGTGCAGCAGAAAGGCTGTCCACAGTCATTTTTTATATCCAACCTATTACGGTAATTTCTTAGTGGGGTTCGTGTGGCGTCTCGTTGTCTAGTCGGCGCGGTAACCATGTGTCGTCCATTTTGATGATGTTACCCCCACCGGTTTTCCACAAAGCGTACGTATATATGCTCGTTAACGTCCATCTATAGTAAATGCAGTCCTTTTGTAGACGTGACACATTGTCATCGTGTGATTTGATGAATGGAATGTGGCATCTCTGCCTACGGATGTAGAAGGCAAAACGAATGGATTTGTGCCGTAGTTTGGGATTTTACGAGGAAAACATCTTGAGAAGTTCCTATGAATCATACCAAACTGAGTTTTTTGAAGTAATGGCGTTTGTCAGGGGATATTTTAGGAATGATTTATGCGATCACGCTACCAGTTTTTCACGATTTGCGCTGATTTTCAGGACATTGAAGAATGGAATGGAATAATGCGCCTAAGCGAAAACCCTCCCCGGATCCAGCTGGACTTAAATCCTCAATAGTCAAGGCTTTGTTTGGCAAATCGGTGAGTTTTTCAATCTCTTAGTATTTCTTCTTTCTTTTGACCTTCCCTCCTAAAAACTTCCCATTAGAGCTCTACATTGTTACCATCTCCTCATCAAAAAGCTGATGATCGTGGCATAATGGCTGCTACCAAATTGTCACCGTTGAAAAAATCCCTGGACCTGTCGCTGAGTGAAGGCGATTTAACGCTGACCGATGAGAAGACACCAGTTGTCCGATGCAAATCCCAGAATATGTTCTTCCCTAATGCCACGGATAAAAGCTCAGCTTCGCTGCAGTCTTTAAAGGTGAGTAAAAAAAGTGTTGACCATAAAAACGTAGTTTGTTTATCTTAAGATCATTGGTCATTCCAACCACAACCATAGGCATAAAACGACCCACTTAGGTGTGAGTTGTGGCTGTCATAGAAGAGTGCGTACGCGTGCGCGGTGTGAGGGGGGGGGGGGGTGTTGAAGCTGATTTATCGACGCCGTGACGGCTGTTTACGATCGCTGTTCGACGCAGGACGGGACGAGAGAGTTGAGGTGTGAGAGCCGTGTGCTTGCAAAATATCAAACATGTGTCGGTGCGATGGATAGCCGGTGGTGATCCGTCGCGTTTGGGTTTTGGACAGGCCACGATATATGGCAGGATTGGACAAGAAGTATGGTTCGATGTGGGCAAAGTGGGTGGTCGAGGTATCCGAGTGGGTGGCTATAAATTTCCGAGGAGGGTTTGGTGCACTTCGTTGGAGGTATCACAGCAGATAAATGCACAAAGTTTGGAGGTTAAACCACACAACTTGTACGCTTTGGTGGATGGATGGGGAGCTTTGTAACTCTGTAGGTTTGAGGGTCAAACTGACTTGAAAAAAAGGCGTCTTTAACTTTATACCGAAGTCGAAAACTGCATGATTCTCTCCAGGAATCAGAGTTGGTGCTTAAATTCATGTAGCTGCAATTTGTTTTCTTTGAAAAACATATTGCCATAAAAGTTAGTCTTTGTAGCTTCTTCCTATTGGTTTCATATTCACTATTTTATCTAACTCTGAAAAAGTGTATGGCAATTTTATTAGAAGTCCGCCAATGGTGCTACAACCGGGCAAATCTACTGCTGATATCTATGGTCACTGGCAAGAAGGACTGAATTAACCCACCGCCTAATCGGCAGTATATGGCTCATTTGCTGGGGTGGGAGTTCTTCAAACTTTTGTTCATACCGTAATAGCGTCCTAGCGGACCAATCACTATCTTCGAGTAAGTGAAAAATACGGTGTGGGTGAGGCTCAAATTTTAAATTTTGGTCATGCATGGATTATAAAGCTGCCGATTGGGCAATAGCTTAGCATTAGTTAATCCTCCCATTCTGTACCCAAAGAAAACTAGGGACGATATGTAGCAGTCTCCCGATCTTGATCTGGCGCAGTTTTACCATTATCAATAAGCTTCCGATCGGGGGACATCGCATGATGGGCAATCGTTTGTAACGGTAAAATAATGTCTGGTTCGGGAAATTAATAAATACTGCCCCATATACTCAATTTTGCCTGATCATCGCCTCCAAGAGAACTTTGAAAAGTCAAATCGAGATTTTCTCAAACTTTTCTAGAGCAATTAGGCCATTTTATTGATCCATGAGAAGTTCTATACGGGATATGCAATTCCTGAAAGCCGTTAGGTTGGGACGGGCTATTCTTGTTCACTACCACTGACACCTTTTAATCTAAATCTCCTGTCTCTTAAGATTCTCTCAAAGAGGGCAAGAACGTGCTACGATGGGACAATAATGCGAATTATATGAATGCGATCCAGATTTCTACGGACACAATGTCGTGCGGCATGCTGTGTATGCGCGTGTCGGGGCGGCGGTAGGAGCGATTGCAAAGCGCTCGGAGTTACTGTAAAACCGGTTGAGTTCACATGTGGAACACGGATTCGACTACACCCGTCGATGTGGGGACGAGTAGCGCGTCGCGTCAAATGTGACTCGCAAGGACTACAGTACGCAGCGGGCGCGCGGCGCACGACAAAATGCGATTGTCGTGTGCGCCGCGCGGGGGTGCAAAAAAAACTCGGCTGTGAGTTGATGTCGGCACTAGAAGAGGGATTGACTCGGTCGCATATAATTGCACACACAAAAGTAGTATCGAGCGAGACTAATGACGGTGATGGTGGTGGCGTCGCGCGCGCGATGTGATTGAAGAACGTCTGAGCATTAGGAGACGTGTTAGGGACAAAAGTGGGGGCAACATTAAGATTACATAACACATATAAACTATCAACGAGTTCCCTTTGCAAAACGAATTCCGAATAAAAAAACATTTTTGCAAAGTAAAATTATGAAATAGAAAGGCAATAGGTTGCTGTGAAATCGACTAATCGTCTCGTCTAAAGCACTCGTTTGAGTGAGTGCACTTGGCAGCTGAGAAGTTTTTTCTCACTAAGAAAGCTCTTGATTTTCCTGTGGCAATGTAGGATTGCGCTAGAGCATAAGAATCGAATTGGAGCATTTTAGATTGTCAAATTAGAGGGCTGATCCCTCTCTTCGTTCATAAGATAACGCTTCGAAATCAGATTGCAAGCGGGTTTGAATCTTTTTTTTTGTGGCCGATGAAGTTTGAGCAAATAGAGTAATTTGATCAAATAGGTTGTGGGATTGCCTGGATGGTAACAGATAATCAAAATGGAGCTTTTTGCTGTCCCTAAGAAGCAGGATGAAAGGGAATGAAGCTGCATGTGTTGCTTTGATCTTTCTGTTGCAGGACAAAAAGCTCACTCACATGGTTTTTGAAAAAATTAGGAAGAGCCATGAATTCGTAAACAACCTGTGGCACAGCAGATCTAATAAATGTTGAACAATCTAGACAAAAATGAATATTATTGAAAGCTCGAGTAGCTCCTCATCCAAAAAACAGGAATGATTTTGTGCAATCCAATGAGGTGTGGCGGCAGATGGTCATGTTTACGAACATGGATAATCTTCAAGCCCAAAATGGTGAACCTATGCGACGGGCCGCAGCCGTTGGAACCACAATTAGTCCAGTAGTGTTCGTTCAGAAGCCGAAATAGCCCTGGTGTCCGTAATTTTGCAAGTGGTTCGAATGTTGCGACTACATGTGTTTCGCGTCAAGCTCATCACTGTTTTACGAGCGACCAGCTAGCCGTCGAGATTGCAACAAATCGTGCAATGTGTGTGCCTTTGCGAGCCAGCCAGAGCCATCCCCCACTTCAGTGGATTTTGCAAAAACAGCACCGTCGCCGATGTTTTCGTCGGGTACCACTTATGAATGTGGCAAAAGATTTTGTAGAGCGAGGGAAACCAGAAAAGTGAAATAAAAATATTGAAGACGTAGAAGTGCTAAGTCGGACAAACTTTCTGATTGAATTATAGGATGTATATCCTTTCCCATTTCAAATCACAGCTATCGTCCTCTCTAGGTTGAATTTCAACTGAAGACAGCTTCTCAGCATCTTTCAAGCTCAGGGATTTCACAATCCTCAAATTTCTAAATCTTCTTTAGCCGAAGCTGCGTTTACCGCTTTGTAAGTGTCGAAATTTTGCTTTTTCGACGTGAGAAATGCCAAGTGGGCGGGGCGTATAGCCAATCGGCCAATCGCCACCGTGCTCACCCAATCAGCATTTAACACACCAAAAAAGCTAGATTGGATATCGTTACGAGCTTTAGATCAGGGAGCATTCTCAATGTAAAAGTACCAAAGGTACAGAATATAAACTGAAGTCGAAAGTATTCCGAGAAGTCGCGAGTTCATAGGTATTTTGTACTAGAAATTGAGAGTTTTTAGATCAGTTTTTCTCAAAATAGATTAGCTTTGGTGTTAGGATAAAAAAATTTTCTATTATGGGATCTTCTACAGTCTCCTTAGTATATCGACAGTTATGGACCTTTGAATAATGAGCCAGTGAGCACCTTTTCGACTTAGCCATTGTTATGACTAGGCTATTGTCACCAAGCTAGCGATAATCCTAATGAAGTGGGTGCTTGAATGATGTGTGCGGGGTCGCACATGAGAAGGACAGCAAGAGCGAGACGAGAGCGAGAGACAGAGTATCGCGTTCGGTGTGCTCTATGTGGTATTGGCCGATAATGACAATAGCGGCGGCCGTTTAGCCATCTAACGCCATTGCAAAAGGGGATCATTAGCCCGAAAATGCACCCACGGCAGTTTTTTCTGTTGTAGAGAAGTCCTTCTGAAGAATTTTCGCTTTGGCGCGGCAAGGTTTGTGATTTTCGGGGGGAAATGCCAAGGCTTTTTTCGCGCCGGGGAAACGTTTCCGGAATTGGAGCCGAACCGGCTGCTTCAGAGCAGATGTCGCACGCGCTGAGATCATTTACAGCTTTGCTAACCAATCCAACGTAAATATTGCGAATGAGCCAGGCAAGATTATCTGAAGACGTGGGAAGGGAGCTTGCGGACTCCCTACTTATGTGCTAGTTTAAGGAGATCGAGGATTTGAGCACGGGATTGCCGAATTATAGAAGGTAGAGTGACCTTGTCAAAAGTATGCACCTGATCAGGTGCGAGCGCCCGATCAGGTGCATTAACGTGAGTAAGCACTCGATCTGAACATCGGATATCTGAGAATTGAGTACCGTGGAGGAAATTAGTACGTCCTTCCTGATCTGTGAGTACATTACGACTCACTACCAACATACGGTATCTGTTCCTCATTTGCGTCGCAAAAGCTAATTAACTACATCGTCGAACCGAACCACATGGACGTGTCGTGTCGTATCCCTAGAGACACGAAGAGTTTAATGTAACGTCTAATGCTAACAGCCATTGCAATCTGTTTCTGGCTATGGTGCTACTGCGTCCGGCAGATAATGCGACTAGCATTATCTGATCCTAGAGTCTGTCTTATCCACGGATATTCAGATGGCCGGGGAGACAACTGCATTTGTGCCCGCTCAGCGTTGACTACGGTACCGGCTATCTTGTCGCTGTTAGCGATTTCTTCACGAATATGTGCTAGTGTTTACGAACACAAGATCGGATTGCCGTCGTCGTTGTGGCGTTGAAGAGCTTTTACGCGGCTATGCTGAATGATTCGTGAGTGTGAGAACGTGCTGGCATTGTTCAACATGTAACTCACCCACGGTCGAAAGTTGCTGGAAATGGAGAGGAGGACGTTGGGTAGCGGAACTTTAGGAATGGGGGAAAGGTAATTCAAAAGCCTCCAGGGGTTTTTGATTTATTTTTTCCCAGTTCCGAATTCAGAAACACGACTTTCTTTGTTTCTGAGCTGGTATGTACCAAGCGCCCGTTGTCCGCCAAATCGGGTGCTT